GAAACCCAAAGAGCAGTCACTATGAATTGGAAATAAACTCAGTGGCAATGGTTTTATTTATTTCTTTTTAGAGTGACTAGAATCTGTTTTTAGCACATCACTGCGTCACTGCTTGACAGTCAACCTGCTTTTGCTTGAGTTTTCCATCATATGGAGGCAGCAAGCACAATTCACTGTTGGATAGCTGTGACCATTGTAAATATTTTTTCTTACATTAAGTAAAAATCTATGTCCTCATAACATCTACCATCTGGTAGAATAAGATCTCTGTCAGCTTTCCCTTTAGTCTTTTCCTTTTCAAGTTAAACGTATCTCGTTTCCTCAATAGGTTTGAAAATGTATGGTTTTTAAACTCTCACTGCTCTCTCACCTTTCCACTTTCCGATTATAATCAACATTGCCTCTTAATCACCTTCTCCCCAGTGCTGACACTGTACTTCAACTTACATTACTAGGCTCAAGGGCTTCCACTATTCAGGCAAGAACACAGGGTGGAAGTATTTTATTTTTCCTTCTGGAGCTAGGGGTTTGGAAGGGTATGTATTCCTAAATAACTGAGTTAGGCACTCAGAAGGTATTTTCTCATTGAAATCTGGGACGAGTGCTTGAAGCAGTATTATATTGAAGCTTTAGGCATAATTTGGTTAATATGGAATTTATCATGCTGGTTTAAAAACTATTTTAATGGGAAAAATGTATTCTTACTCCAAGCACACTTACAAAGGAGCTATTAGAGGACAATTTAATTGGTAAATAGAAACCTGCTTGTATATTTGAAAAAAAATGAGAAAACTGTATGATGTAACTATGTAAAGAGAAAGGTGAAAATGAGTCTCCATCATGTGAAACAGCCATTATGTTAAAGAGAAATAATAAAGGAAATGGGTAGGATTTAAACAAAAGAGAAACTTGAAAGTGAGAATGATTTTGCCTTATTTAGCTATCACAGAACACAGACTTAACCAACCAGAATTTACCCTAGAATTTCAGCCTCATTCAAACACAATAAGAGTCTGTCCCAATTCTGTGAACAAATTATATGGTTCTAATATTCCACTGTTGAAAGAACTTTGAAAAATATGCTCCAAATTTACTTCTATATTATTCCAAACTTAAAAATATAACATCTTTTAAAAGCAAATTTCTGAGCACTGAGTTTTTCAACCATGGATTGAACAAAAATGATTACTCTTTTCATTTGTACCTCTGAGAACTCAAAATAGTACATAGAAATGTTACCTTCAGTATCTTCAAATTGTTCTTCAAATTCTAGTTTCTAGTCACATATTATAACAATTTAAAACTTTTTTTGAGGGGAAATGTCTAGAGGAACTCTAATTTTATATTGTTTGGTTCAGAAATCAACCTCAGAAGCAGTATCAGTACTGTACTTTGGAAGGCTAACTTATCATTAGAGAAAAGTTCGTAACTGAATTCTTTATCCAGGCACTTACCTGCTAAACTACCAAGAGTAAGCATTCTGCGGCCCACTCTCTCAACAAGCCAGACTCCCACAAGTGTGAAAATGAAATTTGTGAAGGCTGTAACAGAAGCCAGCCATATTGCAAGTCTATCATCTTCAACACCAGACATCTGCAGGATAGTTGCACTGTAGTACCTGTGAATCAAAGAGTAAAACAATTGCTGCTGATAGCTATTCAATGAAACAGAGATATCTAGGTAGGAAAATATACTCAGTCACTTGAAATAACCATGAACTGTGATAGTAAACATGGGAATTCACAGAGGACATTAAAGGACAGGGGCCTTGTCTTATTTTTCTTCATATTAATGTAGTGATATTGAATATCTGCAGACAGTCAATTAAAGTTTACAGATGTATTGTCTTTAACTAAAAACAAATTATAGGTTGAAAAATGAGCTATAATTTATGGTAAAAACTAGGTACATTTATAATTGTCATTCCTCAATAAACAAGCACTATATAGAGACTATGTTCAGTTGAAATTTAGTTTGAACCTTCTATAATCAAGAAAAGACACTCAGTAAATGGACTGGACTGAAAACTTCAACAGTGAAATAGACCCCAAAGTAGGAAAAGTGATAGCTGGTAGGTTCACTAAAACTATCAAAGATAAGAACATGGAATGATGGGAAGTCATCATACATTGTGAATTCATGAATTTAAAAGAAAAAAGTGATTCTCTAAATGTAAAAAGTGAAGTGTGATACAAGGATAGAAATCTGCTAAAACTAAGGCATCTCCTTACACAGGGAGTGAGAATGTGTCAGTATTTTATCTAGCACTGTGCAAAGAAGATAGTTGACATGATGGACATGGGAATGGCCTTTTGATTCCTAGAAAACCATATTCAGTGTGAAGTAAATCTCTATGCTTTAGTACAGTCTGCATAAAGGAACTGCAGACTCATTTTGTGCTAAATAAATTCACTAGCTCTTAAAAAACTATACTGCCAATTTGTTGATGCACAATGGGACATACATCTGGCACAGTAAAGGATAATAGGTTTCTCACAAGATATTTCTTCTCTGATGGAAATATCAGTAATTGTATTGCTGATTAATTTTAAATTAACCTTAAAACAAAGAAAGCAGAAGACTCTTGGTGAATCAACTATGAAATAATTTAAATAGGTAGAATTTAAATCCTGAAGACACACTCTGAAGCATGGCTTTGCCAGCTTTCTAAGCCATTCTAAAACAACGAGGTAGTTTTATCCATAATCTGATATCGGACATCCCGAGCAGTATGTTGAACCATGCTGGATATTTCTATGGTTAAACCTACAGTTTCTGGATATTTATCAACATTTTCACAGTATTTCAGAAATAAATATGTTTTCAATACTTTATCTTTGATTCATCCATGGCTTCTGTCTACTATTTTTCAAATAAATAATGGCTTTTCTTATGTAAAATGCTAATACCAACACAGATTCATTCATCACAGTAATAAATACTTTCCTTTTTTTTACTGGCAAACCAAACTTACAAATTACTATGCAGCATGAAGATGTGTTTTCCTGATCACACTAAAAATTATGCCAACCATTTTAAGACTTTGAATTCTGACAGCTGTTGCAAAAAGAGAAATTCCCAGTGGAATTACTCCCATCATCATGAAAATTGTGAATGCTTTGCAGTCAAGAGTGTAAAGTGATAATAAAAATAATGAAAACAATAAATTCCATTTGAATAGTGCTTTACAGTTTCCAAGCATCACTGTATACATTATTGCATCTGATTTTCATACAGACCTGTGCGACAAGGTCAAACCTACATGTAATCACTGGGAAACGAACATAAATACCAAATCTAAGAAGGCCAAAAACAGTAGAAATACTGAGGGAAAATTCAAATGCATAAAGTCTAAAGAATTTAGTACTTGCCATGCTATTAAATTTTGGTTTCTTCTCAAAGCTTTAAGAAAAAATAAGAAATACATTGCCCAAAATAATTCTTTCAAATACAGTTATGAAAAAAAATTAAAAAGAACAGAGAGGCATTTTGATGTTTTTATTTTTGCACAACAAAATCATAAAATTGCAAGTGTTAAATCAGGGGAAAGCAAGAGGAGTCATATCAAACAAAATAAGCTGTTCAGTCTCTGAATTTTATATAAAATGAAAAATCTTCTGTAAGTTACCAAAAAAACCCTTCTGCAGTACTTGATTTTTAGAGACAGATTACAAACAAAGGATGGCCTGGGGATGAGAAACCTACATTCTAATGGCATCTCTTTGGCATGTTGGCAGAGACAGACAGCATAAACTTTGTTCATTTAATATCTATCGAGACCTACTTTATGTTTATGAGTTACTAAAGTCCAACGGATATGTTATCAGACCCTCAAGAAGTTCACAGTTTAATATAGGAGAATAAAATGGAAAGACGTAATTTTAATGCCGTGTAATGGTCCATAAGAGGAACTCAAGTTAAAATATAGTATAAAGGACAGAGCAAATAATCTTACTTCATATGGAAGCCTCTTTTACCCCCCACCCCCCAAAAATCTAATGCTTAAGCTGAGCCTCAAAGAATTCATAGGGGTTTGCCAGCAAATAGGAAGATTTGGAAGGACATATGAGATGAAGGAAATGACATACATAAAGATGAAAATACAAAACAGTATGTGGGGTTCACATAGCTTACACATCTTACCATGGCTGGAAGACAGGGTGCATGTAAGAGAGCAGTGTGACATAAGGCTACGGCAGATGCTTCTGTGTGAAGGCCCTTGACTGCCATACTAACCATTTGGGCTTTATTCATTAGGCAATGGGAAAATGATTACATGATTTTTAAAGATAAATAACACAATTAAATCTGTTCTATGAAAAGATGACTCTGATGATAGCCAAATGGTTGGACTGGAAGCAGACTGAACTGAAGGTGCATTGTTTTGAAACATATTTCAAGTCATTACACTGAAAACAGGCAACTACATTACATCTGTATCAATAGAATACAGCAAGAACAGGGGCTAAAATTCAAGAACTGTAATTTTCACCCATACTAAATCTTTCCCCTGGTAGATTGGCTTGAATTTCATCTTCTTTTTCCTTTATCTCTGATCGCCATTGAGTCAATTGTGACTCAGAGGGACCCCCATTGTGTTTCTAAGACTGTAAATCTTTATGGAAGCAGACTGCCTCATCTACCTTCCAGGGAGCAGCTGGTGGGTTTAGAACCATCAATCTTTTGGTTAGCAGCTGAATGCCTTAACCACTACACCACCAGGGTTCCTTTTTCCTTTATCTAGCACTGGTAAGTGTAACAGTTTCTATTGTTGTATATCAAATTTCCATAAGTTTGTAGTGAAGTGATATCAAACAAAATAAGCTGGTCAGCCTATCAATTTCATTTGAAAATAAAAAACGTGCTGTAAGTATGAAAAAAAAAAAAAAACTTTCCTAGTTTCTGATCATTAAAGGAAGTTAAGACAACACAAATTTATTATCTTACAGTTCTGTAGGTTCCAAGTCTGACTCTGGTCTCACTGGGCTAAAAATCAAGGTATCAGCAGGGCTGTGTTCCTTTCTGGAGGCTTGAGGAAAAGATCTGATTTCCTGCCTTTTCTCTCTCCTAGAGACCACTTACATTCACTTGCTCATAGCTCCTTTTTTCCACCACCAAAGCCAGAATCAATGAGTCAAGTCCTTCTCATGGTGCATCACCCTGGCCTCTTCCTGTGCCTCCTTCTTCATGTTAGGACCTCTGTGATTACATTTAATGGGCTCTGGTGGTGTAGTGGCTAAAACATTTGGTTACTAACCAAAAGGTCAATGGTTCAAACACACTCATTGCTCCTTGGGAGGAAGATGAGGCAAGGCTGGCGGTTCAAACCTACCCGCAACTCCTTGGAAAGAAGGCTGGACAATCTATTTTCATAGTGACACCGCCTCAGTAACCCAAGGTGAGGTCACTATGAGTTGGGTCCGACTTGATGGCACACAACAACTTCGGTAAAGATTTACAGCCTTGAAAATCCAATGGAGGTCACTATGAATTGGAATTGACTTGATGGCAGTGGGCTTGGGTGATTACAATGGGTCCACTGGGATAATCCAGGATAATCTCCATATTTTAAAGCAAACTGATCAGCAAACTTAATTCCATGTGCTTGCTTTATTTCCCACGACATGTAATGTAATATTCACAGATTCTGGGGATTAGAACATGGACATCTTTATTGTTCTCAGTTGCTACTGAGTCAACTCCAACTCATGGCAACTTTATGTAGAACAGAAGGAAATACTGCCTTGTTCTGTGCCATCTTGGGGGTTCATTATTCTAATTATCAGAGTAAAAGTGTTAATAAACAGTAAAATAAGCAAAAGGCCGACAGTTACAGAAGGTGAAAGAATGAAAGAAGGACATTTCCTTAAAGGGCAATCAGTTTGAGAAAATTTCAGGCAATAATTATATTTTCTTCATAAGGCAGGGTATGACACATTTAGGTCAGAACAGTTCACCAACTTAGTTTTTAAAAGTGAAATCATGGAGTTTGTGAAAAAATATATTTAAGTTACATTTTAAAATGTATCAGTGTTTAAAATGTTTCAATGTTTTCATAAATGCTATCAGTCAACTATTTATGTAATAGGTTATCACTGTACTTTTAATCTTCTAAGCCTTTATGCAGTAACTTAAATTTTCAAGGCAATGAGTATTCATTTAAAAGTTGTACAAAGCATAAGAGGGCCTTCTTCATAAAAGATCAATATGAACAACTGAAAAAGGCCTTCTTTCCTTTTTGGACTCAAAGCAGGAATGCTTTCTCTTTTCAAAGTCATTTTATAATTTCTATCAAACAAACTGTCGTTGTCTTCAAAGATTCCCTGGACATCTTTGGTCTTCTCACACGTATTATCTCCTTCCTCAGAGTGAGGCTGAAAGGCCTGAGGGCAGTGTGTTTTCACAGAAGCCCGGCTTGCAACTCCCTGTAGATGTCTGAGAGCAAAAAGGGCCAGAACTGTACGTGCAGTGCTATCTTAGAGATTATGTGAGACCCTGCTTCCATCCTTCAATTTAAAATATAAATAAAGCAAAATAGCTCTAGAAGTATGTGGGTTTTGGTAATGCAAACTTATTCTAATTATGACTTCTAAGTAGTAATAAAGAATAAACAAACTT